AGAAGAAATCCACTGACCATCTGGGATCTTGGGGCCATGCCCCTAGGAGTGATTTCTTCCTTTTCTCCTGAATCATGTGCCTAGATCTCCAAGATCTCCCCAACAAGGGACACTGTCCTTCTGATAATCCCGTGCTTGCCTCTCCGTGGTGTTGCCCACATCCTCAGGCCCTGTGAGAGAGAGCCCAAGAGCGAGCTTACTGCTGGAGCAACCCATCTTCCACGTCTGCTTCAGGTCCTCCAGTATTCAACCTCAGGCAGTCAAGCAGGTTTCATCCTGGTGACAGGTCCCAAAAGCCATTCCCATTCCAACTAGATGGAAAATAATTAGCATACACTTACACATGCACACACACTCCATCCTCCCCCCTCCCCTCCCACATATGTATATATAATGTAGAACGTATGGACATAGGATTCATTAACCTCTCCGAATGAGGTTTCAAGAACAAAGGCACCTCCTGACACCCAAATACACACAACCCATTTATGTTATCATGGGGCACGACCATGGGGTTTTACTGCAACAGTAACGACCGTCTCTCTAACCCTTCCCTGTGTTAAGCCCTTTCCATGAATTCTCTCTTCATCACTAAAGTCCTCTGACCTCGGTACCGTTAGAGCCCATCTTAACTGCGGTGGTGAGCCAGGCCTGTGATGCCTCCTCACCGTTAGGAGCTGAGGGGTAGGCCTGGTGAGCTATTGGGGTGAGAGTGGTGGTCCTGGACAGCTCCTGCGAGGAGGTGCACCTGAGCTGCCTTTTCATGGTAGACATTGCATGCTGGCACAGCTGAAGATGGTCGGCATCTACAGCTGTACGTGTATCTGAATGTTCTCTTCCTCTCCATCTCCAGGGTAATATGCTTTCGCAATGCAAATTGCAATGCATTGGATTTCGTGCTGGGGCTTCCAAATGACCGAAGGGCAGGGACTTGTGATCTTGATGATTTTGTTGGATTTTTTGTTTTGTTTCTGGAAGGCCACTTACATAGTGGACATAATCTGGGAGTCTACCCAGTGAGCTGGTCTCCAGGAAATGACCTTTGATTTAGTGGCCGATACTGACTAACCTGGGGTGCTTAAACGTGCTTGGCAAGTATCATTGTCTTTGTCTCCTTTGCCCTTCTAGACCTTTAGGAGACAGTCTTCAGGTAGGGTAGGTTAGGGGCTTATGGAGCCCAGGAGAGGGTGTAGCCAAACATATATCGGAGAGATTTTGGCCACTGTTTTCTCTTCCATCAGTGTTGGGTACAAAAGGGAAGACAGATGTCCAGAGAGGGGACCCTGCCGGCTACACAAAAGCATCACCTATCAGGAAAATAGATTTTCTCCATACGCAGCCTTGTATGGATTCTTTTTAAAGATATAAAAGGGATACCTGTTATCAAAAATGTAATGATTCCCAATCATTATGTGAAGAATAAACAAGTAAGGCTTAGCCATAGCATGTGGCTCATGGGACTGGCCCTTGCTTGAGGCAGTCACTGTAAACTATGTCCTCTCTCGCTTCTGATGGATGCCTCTCCCTGTTTTTTAATCCAGGTACTTTATGAAACACAGAGAACTCATAAATACACGTAAGCAGGTGCTGAACCTCTTGTAAAACCCCACAACCACAACTCCTGCACAGCAAACTCCAGCTAGACAACAAAAGGTCGTGTATGTGCTGCACGTAAAGTCGAACCTGGGTTTGAACTTGGACTAGCGTTTAGCGAACATTTACTAAGTGCCAAGCCTTGGAATACATCCTTTCCGTGAAATATCTCCTTGAATCCTCAGAGCAGCCCCATGAAATAAAGCACGATTACTTTCACCACTTTACACATGAAAAGACAGGTTTAGAGAGCTTGTGTTACCTTGACTAAGGCCCATAGCTAGAGAGAATGCATTATCAGTGGACCTCAGATACTCCATAGAGAGAAGCATATAACAATTTCCCACAGTTACAGAGCTAGGAAATGATGCAGTCAGGGTTGGAAACCTGGTCAGCCTGACTCCAGAGCTTGTGCTCTTAATCACCACATTGTCCTGATCTCAGAACTACCTTTATCCACCTCTAAAGGATTCTTTGTGAACTACTCCGCTTAGGGGTTTAGAACAATTTCGCTTCTCCTTTCACACAGAGTGAAAATCTGAGTGGTTTAACTAATAAATTCTTTGTCGACATGTAGGGACTTCCCAATCCTTGAGCGTCATCTATTCTCTCTTCCTTACTGTTAGTTCAAAAGTTAAATTTTAGAGCATGTAATTTAAAGCTCTATTTAGAAATGCTCGTTGATGGAGTCAGAGCTGCAGCCATGGAGATGTCCCGTCGTCTGGAAGATCCTCATTACATTCTAGGCTTCTGAAAGCCAGATGAAATATCAATAAAATATGCTGTGTCCTCCTGAGGAGTTAAACCTCTGCACTTGAATGCATTCTTGCAGTGTCTCTCTTGCCCCCGTGCTAAGGAAATCTGTAAGCGAGCAGACTGATGGGGGGAGTGGGGAATTAGGGGAAAAGCAATTTAGTGTGGTTAAGGTACCAGTGTGTGGCAAGGCCATAAGCACTCAAAAGTTCATGGAATACTTTGGTGGTGATGAACTCTCTGCCTATCCTGTTGTCATTCAAACCTCAAGTGTGCTATTTGACCTTAATACATCTGCTCCATTATAATGTCACAGGTAGTGAGTACACAGGAAGCAAGAAAGAAGGTTGCTTATTGACAGAAGTGACGAAGAACTGTTATTTTGGTGTTTCCAAGTAATGCATTTCCTGCGATCCTAATTAGTGTGACGAGAAGACTCATTGCCAAGAAATTGTGTGGTATTTGCTTTAGCTTCTTTCTGAAATGGTGAGGCTTTGGAGAGTTAGCCCAAAGTGTTTATGTGTACTGAGATATTCGGATGCCAGCAGGGCAGAAGAGGTGGTGCAAGTCGTTATTCACATATAATTAAACCTAGGTCACATTCAAGTCCATTAAGCAACAGCCTCAAATCCTTTTAATTAACGGATTCAGATTGGTGGGCCTGAAGGAGCTAATTAAATTTTTTTCCCAGGATTTTCTATTTAAATAGACAACCATTGTGCTTCCTACATTTCCTCCAAAGTTATTCTTTGTAATTTAGTGTTGATGAAGGTGTCAGCACTTCATGGCAGGCCCTGGTTTTCAGAGGTCAGAAAACACTGTGGGCCCCTGGTTAAACCCACGGAGACCCCTGTCTGCATCTTCCAGGATCTGGAAGTCCTGTGCTTACCTGAGCCCAGCCACGGCCTGACAGAGGTCCTCTTTTCCCTGGAGAGCCGACACCTCCTCCCCAAAATCTCCTGGGGGTGGCAGATCACAGAGATCAAAAGCCTCAAGGATAGTAACCCTGGGTTCTTCGTATTTAACAAAGCTGTGGGATGCCTTGGGGCAGACAGCTTCCAAGCTCTTCTGCTACCACATTTTCCCTCACCCCTGTGTCTCCGGCTCTTCTGCTCCAGGAGAGATGACCCAGCCAGCAGTGAGAGCTCAGCTGGCTTCTCAAAGCTTTTCTTCCACAGTTCCCTCCTCTGTGGACACCCCTGAGGGTTATCTCAAGGTTTACAGGATATAAAAGGTTATTCTTCCCAAACAATGAAAAGGTTAAGTACCCTGTTCTGTGCAGAAGAACATACAGTTATAGGATAGGGCATCTCTCCAGAAAACCTGAGATTTTAGTTTCTTGCCCCAGAAAATTCCCTGCGGGCGCTTCATGACTCTCCAATATGTCTAACATGGGCCACGCTGTGTGTTCAGCCCTGGAATTGAGTGCCCAGCACATACGGGTTGCATCTTCCAGTGCTGCCGGGGTTAGACTCAGGGCTGTCTAGGCAGAAGTATTCCAAATCATCATTCAATTAAAGCAGCTGCAGAGACAGGGTTACTGGGGAGAGGGCCCGGGAAACGAGACTCAAGCATCTAGCCGTATCCAGTTCAGCAGCATCCTTCACTCCCGGGGCATGGCCGTGTGGAAGTTCCCCAACATGATGGCAGAAGGAAAGGACACCCTGGGACCCATTTATCCTTTGCCACTTGATGTGCCTGGGAGACTGGAGAGATTTCAGCATAGGCTCCTTCATGTAGGTAGGGAGATCTCACACGTCACCAAGCCTAGACTTGGACCAAGCCCATCAGGACCCACAGCCGTCCAGTGGTGTGAAATACCCCGAGGGGAGGGTACGCAAGGATGCCTTTCTATGAGATGATGTTTCATTTCTGGACCCAGGAGTCAGTGCCACTGAACTGCAGGGAGTCCCCTTTGTCACAGCGGCTCTCAGCCGTGGTCCCTGCGAGGACTCTGAGATGTGTTTTTGCTGCCATCTCTTGTCTGCCGTGGGGACAACTCGTGGTTTACTTGCTGGGGTGGGAAAGGCTTGCCCAGTTACAGCTCTACACCCTCTCCCCACATTGAGGGGAAAATAAAACCCAAGATGCTGGTGTCCCCCAGCGAAAACCCCATTATGAAAATCCAGGTTTGCTGACCTACCATCATTTTAATGCAGCTCCGTGTGAACTGTAATCAAACCGCCGAGCGACCTTTCTGTCCCTCTGCCCAGCATCACTGAAAGGGCCTGTTGTTCCTTTGGTTCAATGAAGAAACCTTCTGTTTAGTTAAGCAAGTGTTTTTGCAGTCATGTCTCCTGGTAAATTACCGAAAGATTATTGTTGGGTCTTGGGTTTTGTTTTTATTCTGTGAGTACCTCCACCCCGCTACCCCCTCGGCTGCCCACCCTGACACTTACTGCTTTACTTTTTTACAAAGGAGGGAAATTCATAATGACCTGAGCAGCTTCCTGGGCCCTTAAAGGTCCCTGGTCATGTTTTTCAGGTCCTAGTGTAAGCTGGCTTCTCATTTATCCACCCCCGACCAGGGCCTGGGAACTTTCCAGAGTCTCAGAGGCATCAACACAGGAATGGAGCCCAGAAGAGACCCCCGTGAGCCAGGGACACCAGTCTGATTGATGTGTTTACATGTGGTGTGCTCCTCTGTCTTACAGCTGTTTGTTGGACTTGGGTTCCCTTATGAAGGCCCGGCTCCCTTGGAGGCCATCGCAAATGGATGTGCTTTTCTGAATCCCAAGTTCAACCCACCCAAAAGCAGCAAAAACACGGACTTTTTCATTGGCAAGCCAACTCTGAGAGAGGTAAGCATCTATAAAACTCATCCTACTTTCACTCATAGGAATGGTAGCTATTTATTGAGTGCTAGGAGCCCATTTGAACCTCAGAGCCTTGGACGGTAGGTATTGTCAACTTCATTTCACTTAGTTGGGTGGAAGGGGGAGGGTGTGCAGGGGCTCAGAGAGATGGATGACTTGATTACATTCCCTCACTAAGTAGTGGCAGAGCCAGGATTTCGATCTATTTCCGTTCTACAAAGTACGGGGTCTTTTCGCCCTACCCCATCTCCATCCTAATTTGAACAGATATCGCCAGTCTTCCAATTAGCTGAACTCTGATTTCCTGGATGATTAGAATTTATGGAATAAAAAGAAAATCAAGGGGTTAACAGGTATTTTTAAAGAACCTACTCTCTGTGAGGAGCTTCGGGGAATTAAAAAGTGGGCCGTGGGCTCCTTCCTTGAAGAATCATCATCCTTGAGAAAAAAGACGTATCGGGGTGACTGAATAGTATGCCTGGTATTTTAGCCGACTGTCAGCAGGGTGCCATCCTGAGAAGCAATCCTGCCATCGCTCGAACCATTTGCAGAAGCCTTATTTGGATTGCCTTCGGAGGTCCTCTTGAAAATCCACAGTGGGTGATGAATCACCATTGAAGGCAGTTGGATTCTATTTGGGACAATAAACCAAAGTCATTTAGAGCACGTGAATGACGAGGCTGGGTGTTTCTATATCCGGTTAGAAACACGTATGTGCAAGAACCCATAAGATGGATTTCTTACTATTTCTTATTTATTTCTGCACAGTTCGTACGTGGCTCTCCAGGCTGCTTTCAAGGAGGAAGCCTCTAAGTGTTGATTTGTCCCAGTGCCCTTGTCATTTGGGACCGTCTACTGGGGAGGACACTGCTGGGCAGCCCTCCCGGGACATGTTTCTAAAGCATACATTTTTCACCTTTGCTACTTTTTTTTTTTTTTTTTGCGGTACGCGGGCCTCTCACTGTTGTGGCCTCTCCCGTTGCGGAGCACAGGCTCCGGACGTGCAGGCTCAGCGGCCATGGCTCTGCGGCATGTGGGATCCTCCCGGACCGGGGCACGAACCCGTGTCCCCTGCATCAGCAGGTGGACTCTCAACCACTGCGCCACCAGGGAAGCCCACCTCTGCTACTTTTAAACCTTTCTGGGTCAGTTCTCCTGACCGCATTCCCCACTTCCCCAAGTAGTATATAAAACACGTTTTCCGTGATTATTCTTTACCTTTCAGTCAGAGAACTTCCCAGTTAATAGAGTTGATCATTCTGAGAGTCCTTTTCGTTGACCCTCCCCATCACTGGTGAAAGGGCCAAAGGAGATGGAAGAAGATCAGCAAGACCACAGATTATCCTGAAAAAGATGAACCTATGGCCCAGATAACCTCTGACAAAGGTTAACGAGGCATGTGTGTGTGCGTGTGCGCATGCTTGCTTTTTCCTTCTGCTGGTATTGTAAATTTGAGTTCTTCATTTTGGGGGGAGGGGGGTCATTCCTCAGCAACACTTAATGCACACGGTGTTTGGACTTCCCGTGCTGTGGGGCAGGTACCAGAATACAGATCAGGAACCTTCAGTCTGGTACCCAAGAACTTACTCTTTGCAAAGGTTTGAAAGGATGCTCCCCAGCAGTGAGAATGTCTCAACTTAGGCATCTGTGCTTTAGCGTGCGACTGACTTTGAAACTTCGGAGCTCTGGGTAGAAAATGTGGGCTAATAAATCATTCCTGTGTTACGTTTGAATGTAGGAAATCTCTGAAGTTCTACATCTGCCTAAATTGGATAATTATTTGTAATTTTCAGTGTTTTTTGTGATAAATTATACAGTGAGAAACGATGATTTTAACCTTTTTTGAGTGTACAGTTCACTGGCATTCAGTACATTTGCGATGTTGTGCAGTCATCACCACTATCCACTCTCATAGATTGATTGTTCCAAACAGAAGCTCTGTACATTAACAGTAACTCTCCGTTCTCCCCTCCTCCAGCCCTGAATAGAAGAGTAACCACTACTCTACTTTCTGTCTATAGGAATTTACCTATTCTAGGTGCCTAATGTAAGTGTCATCGTACAGTGTTCGTGACCAGCTTATTTCACTAAGCATGTTTTCAAGGTTCATTCATGTTACATGTGTCAGAATCTTTCCTTTTTAAGGCTGAATAATATTTCATTGTATGAATAGCCCACATTTTGTTTATCCGTTCCTCTGTTCATCGACACTTAGTTTCCATTTCTTGTCTATTACGAAAAATGCTGCTACAAACGTGGATGTACAAGTATCTGTTTTGAGTCCTTGCTTTCAATTCTTTGTGGTATATATACCTATGAGTGGAATTGCTGGAACTTGCTTTTTATTTATTTTGAAATAATATTAGTCTTAAAGAAAAGCTGCAAAAAGAGTACAAAGTTTGGTTATATGCTTCATGCAGCTTCCGCTAATGGTAACATATTATGAAACCACAGTGTAATTGTCAAAACCAAGAAGTTAACATTGGTACCGTAATATTACCTAAACTACAGACTTTATTTGGATTTCACCAGTTTTTCCACTAACATCCTTTTTCTGGTCCAGGCTCCCGCATGGCCTTTACCTGTCATGTCTCTTTAGTCTCCTCTAATCTGTGCCAGTGCTTCAGTCTTTCACTGTCACTCATGACCTTGACATTTTGAAAGAGTACCAGTCAGTTGTTCTGTACACTGTCCCTCCATTTGGATTTGACTGGTGTTTTCTCCTGATTAGTTTGAGGTTACACATTTTTGGCAAGAATCCCACAGAAGTCATGTGGCCTCAGTGTATCATGTACCAATGTCTTATTACTTGGTGATGTAACCTTGATCGCTTGGTTAAGGTCGTGTTTGCCAGGTTTCTCCACCATAAAGTTACTGTTTTTCTCTAAATTGGGGGAAGTACTTTGAGACCATGCAAATGCCCTCATTCTCCTCTGACTTTTGCCCATTTATTTTTACCATGTATCAGTGGATCTTTCTTGCAACCATTGTTATAGTGATATTCTGATGATGATTTTTCCCTCATGATTTTTTTTTTCTGGTTTCCCATGATAATAACCATCTTAGTTAACATTTGTTGGAGCACTTACTATGTGCTAAGGGCTCTTTAAAAATGATTTTTTATTGATTTGCAATGTTGTGTTACTTTCAGGTGTACAGCACAGTGATTCAGTTTCATATATATTTTTTTTCTTTTTCAGATTCTTTTCCCATATAGGTTATTACAAAATATTGAGTATAGTTCCCTGTGCTATACAGTAGGTCCTTGTTTTTTTTTTTTTATCCATTTTATATAGAGCAGTATGTATACATTATTCCCAAATTCCTAATTTATTCCTCTCCCTACCCCACCCTTTCCCCTTCGGTAACCAGAAGTTTGTTTTCTATGTCTAAGAGTCTTTTTCTGTTTTGTAAATAAGTTCATTTGTATCGTTTTTTTAGATTCCACATATAAGTGATATCACATGGTATTTGCCTTTCTCTGTCTGACTTACTAATGCATGAAAGGCAAAGAAACCCATCGGTTTTCTTATTGCAGTTTCTATATACAAGACTTTGGGAAATGATTCATCAAAAGTATTTTGGACTGACTTGGTACCTTCTTGATCATTAGAATTAGATAATCATTTAAATTTTGATAATTCTGAAGATTTTGATAACACTGTATTACAACTGAGTACTTTTTCCTGAAAAAAAATTGAAGACCCTCTTAAACACAGTCTAACCCTTTCCCGGTGAATGATGTAATGTCACATAGATCAGATCAGCCAGTATGAAATTGTTGAGAAAAGTATGTTCATGCTGTCGGTTGTGATCCTTTAGTAATTTGCTTTTTGTTGAGGTGATAGAGGGTTTTCATTCTTCATGGCATGAAAAGGGAATAGGTGTTGGAGCTGCCGCCCAGGCATTTGGTTCCTCCTGTCCTTTCAGATGGTCCCACCAGTGCTGGAATGAGACTCCAGTTAGAATGGCACTGGGGGAGGCTTTCAACAGCTGCTCAGCAAGTGACCTCCCACAAGTGACTCCATCAGTCCTGGGCTCCCGTGGGAGGGCTGGGATGCAGAGGTCAGCTGACAGATGTTCACTGTATCCCCACAGGGCCTGTGGTACTAAGTCACTGCATTGGGGGAACTTATCAAGACACATTTCCTGTTTCCCAGGAGTTCAGATTTTGATATGGAAGTGTGATAAGAACGATGCCTCATCAGCGGGCATTCATAAGGAAAGAGCTGAGTACATTAAGCAGGGGAAGTTAACTTGGAGTGGTGCCCGGTGGAGGATGTGCTGGGTTAGCTAGAAGGGGATAGTGGGGGAACGGTGCTTTAGAGGAAAAGAAGAGTTGGGTTTTGAGTTGGAGAAGCATGAATGTTGATGCGTTGGAGGGAAACCCCAAGCAGGTCACTTTGCTTTATGCAGGAGGGCAGGTTCCATCTGATGTCCATTTCCTTCTCCGCTGGAGACGGTGCAGAGAGCAGGCTGATAGCCGGTGACATGACACAGCTTTGAGGGGAGCCAGTGAACCTGACCTCACGGGCAGGTGGGCCGCCCCACTCTGCTCTTTCAGCTCACAGAATCCCCCGATCAAAGATGCTTTTAATTGGGAAAGAGCTATCAAGACTTGTACAGATTTCTAAGGGTCAAGAATCCCTAGGAACTATCCTTTTTTTTTTTTCCTCAGCAAATAGAAGAATTTTAACCAAAGCATATATAATTGCGTAGCTATCTTCTTGTGCCCTTGCTAATCTTTTGAGCTGAGCGACACTAGATCCATGTAAATGGGTCCATATAAATTGCATCTATGTCTCTTCTTTGCCTTCATTTGAAGAGAAGTCTAAATTTTTCTTTGTATTTAGAAAACAAAAAGCTTTGTTTTTATCTTTGCATTGGACCCATTTTTAAAACCACAGTGTACACACTCAAGAGAAGTTCCATATGCCTTAAGTATAATGTGGTTGGTTCAAGTTACACTTTAAATGTAATATAATTTGGATTTCTCTCTTTATATTGGGAAACATATTAGTAGGCTCTTTTTTTTTTTTTTTGCGGTACGCGGGCCTCTCACTGTTGTGGCCTCTCCCGTTGCGGAGCACAGGCTCCAGACGCGCAGGCTCAGTGGCCATGGCTCACGGGCCCAGCCGCTCTGTGGAACGTGAGATCTTCCTGGACCGGGGCACGAACCCGTGTCCCCTGCATCGGCAGGCGGACCCTCAGCCACTGCGCCACCAGGGAAGCCCGGTTCTTAATCATTATTCTGACATTTTGGAAACCATTAGAAATTCTCTGACTCCACGGTTTCCTTTTCCATAAAGAGAACTTGTGTTCTTCTTGGAGATTTAACAGCCGCTCTGAAATGTCTTATATTTAATAAGATTTTCGTTACTTTTACAGACTATACTCCAGTAAATATACTGATTGATATACGATAGCTCAGATCATACGGTTCTCAATAAATTAACAAGGACGAATGGAACATTCAGAGGGGGAATAATGAATCACAAAATGCCTTACTCATAAAATTAAGTAACCCTCCATAAATGTAAATGAACAAAATGATAATGGTTCAGCATTTTGTATTTTCCAGGCGCTTAGAGCAACCTTGTAAATGAGCAGGGACCTTAAAAGGCAGAGGGGAGAGAGACTGCTAAATAGTGACATTGATGGCAACTTTCATTTACCCTGATTCAGTTGGAAGAATTAATTACTTTGTTCTCCAGGCCACAAAATGAAAATGGTGTGACACTTTACTCAGCTTCAGGAAAGGTCTAATACAGACGTACATTCAGTCCTGGGATTTTGTTTTTGGTTAGCTGTTTTTAAGCAAGTGATGAAAAGGCTGGTGTTTACATTGAGCTGCTTTTGGTCATTGTCTTAAGAACTCAAGAGCATCCTTTAAAATTGTCATCTTCCGTTTTTGTCAAAAGGTAAAAAGTTGTTGAAGGATCTAGATTTGAATTTGCTCTGCTGCTTTCTAGCTATTTGGTCTTGGGGAATTGTAAGCCCCTCTAACCCTCAGAATCCTCCTCAATACACAGGAAACCTGATAAATGATGTCTGCTCAGGTGATAAGCCCAGCGCCTGCCCCAACCGAGGGGCCTCACTGATACGTGCTCAATCTAAGATATGTGCTGAGAAAAAGAAAAGGGTGCTCCCTCAGCTCCAGGAGCCTGCGGGCACTTTTCTTCTATCCCTGACCGCACAGCTGAGCAAAAGAAAAAGGTTACATGTCAGAAGCATGGGGAGCTGCAGGCTGGCGAGGGGCGTGACTCTGGCAGAAGAGGCAGGAGCAAAGTCTAGGATACCTGCACCTCAGAATCACCTGATTTCCACGGGTGGGGGCCAGAGAAGGCTCAGAGTGGAGGCCCAGTAATTTATCTTCTGGGTTTCCCCCCTGAGTAATGCATGCACACCATTGGTGTGGTGAGACACAAAGAACGGTGGCCAAGAGCAAGCTGGAGAGGTGCCAGTTGAATCACCCAGTCCTCTGAGTATATTGGGATCTGAAGAAAAAAAGAGAACCAGCTTGGCCTCAACCCTTCCAGACCCAACACCTTCTTTTATTCTAAGTGTATTATAGCATCTACTTTTCACTCCTGAAATGAAAAATATACCCTGCTAACATCATGCAGGGTGAAGTAAGTCAGAAAGAGTAAAACAAATACCGTATGCTGGCACATATATATGGAATCTAAGAAGAAAAAAAAAAAGCTCATGAAGAACCTAGGGGTAAGACGGGAATAAAGACACAGACCTACTAGAGAATGGACTTGAGGATATGGGGAGGGGGAAGGGTAAGCTGTGACAAAGCGAGAGAGTGGCATGGACAGATATACACTACCAAACGTAGAATAGATAGCTAGTGGGAAGCGGCCACATAGCACAGGGGGGTCAGCTCAGTGGTTTGTGACCACCTAGAGGGGTGGGATAGGGAAGGTGGGAGGGAGGGAGGGAAGACGCAAGAGGGAGGAGATATGGGGATATATGTATATGTATAACTGAGTCACTCTGTTATACAGCAGAAACTAACACACCATTGTAAAGCAATTATACTCCAATAAAGATGTTAAAAAAAATCTATTCAATGCCAAGTTTAATCTAAATAAAATCAAAGAGAAATGCGAATATCACACCAAAAAAAAAAAAAAGAATGATTCTCTAATATGAAAGAGAAGTAAAAGGAAAATACTTTGCTATAAGGTAATAGATATTTTGTGTATATGTAGTCCAGAAATACTGTATCATACCCATGAACCACACTAGAAGGCATCATGGTGTCTCATTCCTCCTTACAGTGAGTATGTTTGTATTTAAGAAGAATAAAACATTGAGCTGAATCTGGTCAGCCCTTTTTACTTATAATTGACATTAACGAGAGAGAAGCTAAATAAAAAGGTGCCTGCCTATATGTAGACACACAGATACACGCGATTGGCATTACTGTGACAGCTTCAAATACAGACTGGTTTGGGTATGTTGTACTGGAGACCCAGATCCTCTGCGTGGCATTGACTTTGCTGCCATGATTTTTCTGAAATGATAACGGCTTATTGGTGAAATTCCCAATAAAACGTCCCTTGATTTGCATGGTAATTATGTTCCTGGAAAACTCAATGTATACTCAGACTGTGCCAAAGAGGCTGATTCTGTGAACCCACCTGAGAGCTTGGCGGGGCATGTGAAGGCCTGTGGGGAGTGGACAGTTCTGCCCTGTGCAGGACGGTCACACACATCTCAAGGCATCTGGCATCCCTGGTCCTCAGCCACGGGTTGGGGCAGCACCCGCCAACTTTGAGAACTGAAAGTGCACCAGAGTGCTTTCTTTATACCACAGCCTTAAAAGGATACAGGAATAAAGGTGGGAACAAGTTTGAGGGGTAAATTTAGCTGTCTTCAAAAAACGGATTCTTAGGGCTTCCCTGGTGGCGCAGTGGTGGAGAGTCCGCCTGCCGATGCAGGGGACGCGGGTTCGTGCCCCGGTCCTGGCAGATCCCACATGCCGAGGAGCGGCTGGGCCCGTGAGCCATGGCCGCTGAGCCTGCGCATCCGGAGCCTGTGCTCCGCAACGGGAGAGGCCACAACAGTGAGAGGCCCACATACCGCAAAAAAAAAAAACAACCAAAAAACGGATTCTTCAGGAACTGAGAATTGCCAATATTCCTGTGGGTTTCTTTGGCCACCCTCTGTTTTTAAAATAAAGCCTCCTTTAAAACAAAAGCTGCTTTTCCTTGTTTTTCTGATCGCACATTGCCTTTCTGACTCTTAAGGCTCCAGTGTTATATGCTAATTATTATTCCAAAATTCACTCTTTTTCTGGTAGCATTATTTCCCTTTCTGTCACCTTTCATATGTGCCATTACGTGTCCTTCTATGACTTTAAAGCCTGTGACAACTTTATTGTAATTTCCTTATACTTAACCTGTCTGTCCTAACCAGTATTTTATAACAGATGCTAGTTTGATCTAGGTGATTTTCAGGGCTGGGATATGACTGAGGGTAAATATTCATATTTCTTGGTGTGATTTGGGGGGTTGAAGCCATCTGTAACAGCCTCCATGTCACCTGGTTATGACAGTCTAACTCTTTTTTCAAAGTGGGACTCAAGGTGAGGAGCCATCACCGGACCTGCCCTGTGGATGCCGTGGTCTCACGCAGGACCATGCCCTCCTGGGACCCCCTAGACTCCCAGGAACCCCTCCAAAGTGCCCAAGATCCCAGCTCTAAGGCTCTAAGACAGCATAGCCTGGCCGTGTGTCTTTTAAAACATTCCACATGAGCCTGATGGGCACCCATGGGCACTGCCAGTGTTGCCAGCCGGGCACACTTGACAGCCTCGCTGTCCTTACCTGTACCCGTCAGCGCTGTGCCTGCTTCTCCAGATGGTCCTGACAGTAGATATCCTGCTGGTCAAAACAAAAAAGAAAACAAGCTGTGGACCCCTCCCTCTTTAAAGTTACCTGCTTACGGGGTGCTTAGGAGGTTTCGATCGTCAAGGGTCCAAAACAAAAAATGACATTACCTACGCAAGTACAACTCGGAACCATAAAAAGCATAACGCTTCACCTAACACAGAAGGTTGAGAAATGAAAAAAGCCAGTGTTCGTGAGACTGAGGTGTTCCGTTTTCTCTTTTCCAGCTGACCTCCCAGCATCCTTATGCCGAAGTTTTCATCGGCCAGCCACACGTCTGGACTGTTGACCTCGATAATCAGGAGGGGGTGGAGGACGCCGTGAAAGCAATTTTAAGTCAGAAGGTTACTTCTTTTATTCCATTTTCCCCTATTTGTGATGTGAATGGGGTCATGTGGAAAGCTTCACCGGCTCTTCGTTCTAGTAATTAGAATGGTTCCATGTCAGCTTGACTCTGAAATTAGAAAATGGCCCAGCTGTAGGACTGACCTGGGGATTTTCGTGGATGTTCTGTGAAATGGAATTAGAGCTGGTGTCCAGATGTGTGCATGGATTCTACAGACCCTTTTGACATGGCTCCTGGGTCCCAGACACAGCAGTAGAAACTTGAATTCTACTTGTGTCAGTGACCTCATTATGTAGCTTTCCCAAAGATCAGAAAAGATAGACCCGCTCCCCTGCAAAAAAAAAAAAAAGAGAGAGAGAGAGAAGGAAAAGGACTAATTAAGGAAATACTAGGAAATGTTTTTTATAGCATGTTTATTTGGCTTTTCTACCTACATCTTATAAAATTTTGTATAAGTAACTAACATCTCTGGACTCTCCAGAACAATTCAGCAGACATGTATTAAATACCTACTGTATGCAGAGCGCCCTCTGAACCACTGTCAGGGATGCTCACTTCCATAAGCATAAACGAGGCTGGCTCCCTGCCTGTAGGAAACTTACCACCCTGTCGGGATGGGTCAGGTTATCCTCTCTCCCAACCCCGGGACTGCCTTGGATTCTACCAGTAAACCCTGCCCTCTGTCCTCCTCCTATCAGGGCAGCGATTACTCTGTTATAATTTTTTAAGAGAAGCAGTATAGGTGTGGTTATAAGGACAGGCTAGAATCAGACAGCTTGGGCTGGGGTCCAGCCGTGTCCCCTCAGGCAGTTACTTAACCTCTGAAGCTCAGTTCCCTCATCCCTGATGTAGGCTAATTTCACCTACTTTACAAGTACTTGAGAGGATCCAATGAGATAATGAATATAAAGTGCCTAAGTGCAGTGTCGATCTCATAATAAATGTCTAGTCAGGAGTATTAAGTCAGTATTGCATATATAATGTAATATTCTTTTTTACTGAAGTATAGTCGATTTACAGTGTTAGTTTCTGCTGTACAGCGAAGTGATTCTGTTATACATGTATATATATTCTTTTACATATTCTTTTTCCATTATGGTTTATTACAGGATATTGAATATAGTTCCCTGTGCTCTACAGTAGGACCTTGTTGTTTATCCATCCTATAGATAATAGCTTGCATCTGCTAATCCCAAACTCCCAATCCAACCCTCTCCTGCCCCCTCACCCCCTTGGCAACCACAAATCTGTCCTCTATATCTGTGAGTCTGTTTCTGTTTCGTAGATAAGTTCATTTGTGTCGTATTTTAGATTCCACAAATAAGTGATATCATATGTCTTTGACTTGCTTCACTTAGTATGATAATCTCTAGGTCCATCCGTGTAGCTGCAAATGGTATTATTTCATTTTTTATGGCTGAGTAATATTCCGGTGTGTGTGTGTGTGTGTGTGTGTGTGTGTGTGTGTGTGTGTGTGTGTGCGCGCGCGCGCGCGCGCGCGCGCACACACACACACACCACATTTTCTTTATCCATTCATCTGTCGATGGACTGTTGTTTCCATGTCTTGGCTAATGTAATACTATAACATTCTTACTTTTGTTAGTGATAGTCTGGATTTCTATTAGACCGTAAGCAACATGGGCAGGAGCTATATCTGTCTCACTGCTGTGTTCTCAGGACCCAGCATAGCGATGTACCTAATAGATGGTGGGAGGCATGGAGGGAGCGAGGAATAGATGTATGCAGATCAGCACACTAAGGCAGAGAGAGTATGTTCAGTGCCAAGACCAACATGCCAGAGATGGAGGAGTGTCTGTCTTCTCTGCTTCTTTTTTTTTACTGAAGTATAGTTGATTTACAATGTTGTGTTAGTTTCTGGTATACAACAAAAATGATTCAGATATGTATATATGTGTGTGTATATTTATGAATATATATATATATTCTTTTTCATATTCTTTTCCATTATGGTTTAATTACAGGATATTGAATATAGTTCCCTGTGCTATACAGTAGGTCCTTGTTGTTTATCTGCTTTATACACGGTAGTTTGTATCTGCTCATCCCAAGGTCTTAATTTTTCCCTCCCCGCTCCTTTCCCCTCTGGTAACCCTAAGTTTGACTTCTATTTCTGTTTTCTCTGCTCCTTATAAGGACATCTGGAGAATGCAGCATTGAGTTAAGTCTCAGAGCATGAGTAGGAATCTGCAAAGTTAAACGGAGAAGTGAGCCCAGAAAGACATGAGTTAGAGGAACAGTGAGAGTCAAGGGGGAGAGGCTAGAAAGGCGTGTATCCCAGGAGGAGTTGCCAGTTGGCCCATGTAAAGGGCCGCCTTTCCCCTTTGGAGAATAAAATGGGGACCTCCCAACTGCCAGTTTCAGCTTACTGAGCACATCTCCTGGGGAAAAGGAGTACTCCAGCGTGTTACCCATGTCGCTTTAGAGCAGGTCTAGTTATTGAGCTTTGAGGTAGCTGCTCAGAGCTTCCCATCAGCGACGTGTACGATCTCATTCCAGTCTCAAGTTTAGGGCAGAAGTCCTCCAGACCTCTGGTGGCCAAGCCAAGAGATGAAGTGCCGAGTGGGTGTGGTACTGCTGGCCACCTCAAGTACCTGCTGCATGTCTGCAGTTTCCCACCAGAGGATCCTTCTTGCAGAGATCGAAGGCTCTTCTTTCTTCAGTCTCAGAGTCCTCTAGGGTATTAGCTTCTAAAGCTGCCATAACAAAGAACCACAAAGTGGTGGTTGAAACAACAGAAATTTATTCTCTTACAGTTCTGGAGGCTGCAATTAAAATTAAGATGTCGGCATCTGAAATTAAGATGTCGGCAGGGCCATGCTCCCTCTGACGACTCTCATGGAGGGTCCCTCCTCGCCTCTTCCACCTTCTGGTGGCCCCAGGTATTCCTTGGGTTGCAGCTGCAGCACTTTCATCTCTGTCTCTGCTGTCATATGGTGTTCTCCGTGTGTGTGTGTGTGTGTGTGTGTGTGTGTGGTGTCTTTCTGTTTTCTCCACTTCTCATAGAGACATCAGTCATGTTGGATTAGGGCCCACCCTAAATCACTATGACCTCTTCTTATCTTGATTCCATCTGCGAAGACCTTATTTCCAAATAGGGTCCCATTCACAGGTACTGGGGGTTAGGACTTCAACATATCTTTTGGGGGTGGGGGACAGAGTTCAACCCACAACACTTAGTTAAGTGTGCATGCATTTGAAGAGGAGTGATTTGAAAGCTAACGTAGAGGCAGAAAATCTTGGATCATAGAGTCCAAAACTTTTTAGATAATACATCCCTTTTGTCAAACAGAAATCTCGTGGGAATGCCTGACATGTAAAGCACTAAGTGGGTGCTGAGTTCTATCCAGTTCTACATGAGGCTGTGTTCAGTTCATGGGTCATCTACTGCTCCCCTTTTTAAAACCCTGACCAACCCTTTCCCTAAAACCATTTAAGGCCACTTAAGGGGGAATAAAAAGTAATCATATGTAGGGAGAAGCTCTTTTTATACCTCCAGAATCTCTCTCTGTACATCTCTGTGAGCCTTGTCTCATTTAATCCTTCTGCAGGTAAGAAAATGAAGGTTTAAAGAAATTAAGTAATTTACATAAAATCGCACAACTAGTAAGTAGTAGAACCTGGATTGAAATTAGTATTTTTGACTAGTTTATTAAGAAAAAATTTAAAAAGAAAAACAGCATTAAATGAAGTAAAGGGAAAGACGAGAGTGAGAGAAAAAGTAAGGAATGAGATTAATACAAAGACTATTAACATTATAATCCTTATGCTTGTTATAAATGGGTCAGAAATTTGGTGCCAAGCTTTCTCATATTTAATTACAAGATTTTAAATTACATGACACTCAAAAAAGCAAGAAAACATGACCCATCATTAAGAGAGGACACCATCAATAAAACCAGACTCAGAGATGGCTCAGATGTTGGAATTACCATACAGCAAATTTTAAATGCTGAGATAAATGTATTAAAAGGTTTGTTGGGGACTTCCCTGGTGGTCCAGTGGCTAAGACTCCGTGCTCCCAATACAGGGGACCTGGGTTCGATCCCTGGTCAGGGAACTAGATCCCACGTGCATGCTGCAACTAAAGAGTTCACATGCCACAACTAAGGAGCCTGCATGCCTCAACTAATGAGCCCACGTGCTGCAACTGAGGAGCCCACGAGTCACAACTTAGGAACCTGCCTGCCACAACTAAGACCCCATGCAGCCAAATAAATTAATTAATTAAGTATTTTTTTAAAAAGCTTTGATGGAAAAGGTAGATAACATATGTGAATAGATGGGGGATTTCAGCAGAGAGATGGGAACTTCTTTAAAAGCCAAATGAAAAAATGCTAGAACTGAGAAGTACAGTATCAGAAATTAACTTTCAGTGGGCTTATCAGCAGATTATACACAGCAGATGAAAATAATCAGTGAACTTTAAAGACTTATGAATAGAAATTATTGAAATTAGAGAAAAAAGAACAAGATAAAAAAGAGCATATGAGATCTCTGGAACAATATTCAAGCAGCCTAATTTATGTGTAATTAGAACTTCAGAGGAGAGAATGGCCAGAAGAAATATTTGTGAAAAGATAATGGCTAAGAATTTTCTAAAATTAATGAATAATCAACCTGCAGATCCTGAGAGCTCAGTGAAGGCCAAGCAGGATAAATATGGAGAAAAACACACTTAGATACATCATAGCTGAACTGCCAAAAACGAAAGATGAGGAAAATAATCTTGAAAGCAGCCAGAGAAAATTTTATTACATTCAGGGGAATAACAGTATGAAAGACCACCAACTTCCCATCAGAAATAATGGAGACCATAAAAGGGTCTGCAGGAGCCAGAGTGTGTAGGGCCTCTAAATAGGCCACAAGAGGGATTCTGGATTTTATTCTGAGTATGATGGGTAGTTATGAGCAGGGGAATGACATGACCTGTTTTACATTTGAAATCATCAAGAGAAATTCCAGGAAGTGCCTGACTTAAAATTCTGTGCTTAGTAGATAGAGGAGATAAGACTCAACCCCTGGACTTCCGGTACCTTCTAAGACCATCTGTCGTTGAATGATGCCAAGCCACGTGTCAGGTGGGACCATGCAGAGGTTAACTGATATCAGAGAGCAGTTCCCTGTAGAAGTTGTACTCTGACTTAGAACGCTGAGTAATACTAGAGACAGGAGCTCCCACTGCAAGGGAGGTGAAGAGGAGAAAACAGAGGAAAAGATGGGGGGTAGGGAACGTTTCCAAGGCCAGCAGGGACTGCATGGTGCAGCCTGCAGGCATCCTTCCTATGGCCATATGAGTAACAGTCCTTTGTCCACCAGCAAGATGACCAGGCACATTCCCCCCTGCTTCTCCGTAACTGACCCCACTTGGGATTCTCAGTGACTGGTGTGGTTTCAACATTCCCTTTCATTCATCCCCCAAAAGACCTTGACTTGTTCCTGAGGGACTGTTCTACAGTAAACTGTCCTGCGCGCGCACGCGCACACACACACACACACACACACACACACACACACACACACACACACACACACACACACACACACACACACACACACACACAATCTGTGCAGCAGATCCGACATCAGAGGCTAGCCAGTGCTCAGTATTCCTAAAGCCGGGGCTCTGGGGAGCTTTCCCACACAGAGGGCCCTGCTTCGGTACACAGCAGGGTAGCTAGTGGAACTCACTGGCAGAGGTGGCTTAAGAATACAATTTCTTTCTTTCTTTCTTTCTTTCTTTTTTTTTTTTTTTTTTTTTTTTTTTTTTTTTTTTTTTTTTTTTTTTTTTTTTTGCTTTTCCTTTATAGGAAAATTAGCTCCTTATCTTTTAAAACAGTGAACTGACCACAAAGCAGTTAATGAGTCACATCCCCTTTGGTTAAACTGGGTTTGGTTGGTAGGACACAGGAAGAGCCATTTTTTTGTGTTTATTGCGTAAGCCCTTTGAATGAATGCACTTTCATTTCTAATGGATACCCTTTAGAATATGCTGTAGGAATGACCCTTGAGTATTCAGTATGCTTCCCACCATATAACTGGATCTGTCGGTCGCATGACAGATGGCCCACCGATGTTTATTTACCTCACTCTAGAAATCCTACTTATCCCCTTATAAATGAGCTCAATACGGAAGTCCTCTATTGTACATTTTTTGTTGTTGTTCTTATTCGTTCATATCTTTTCCCACAAACATGGGAAGAGGCATATCTCTAGACAGTTAGAGAAAGCTTCTGGAATCACTCACAAGGTGATTAAATAAATATTCTTTAGAAGAAAAAGTCTACATTTGGTGGAAAGGACTGTGTTTCGGTTAGAGAAGGCACAGCAAGTGCAAAAGCTTGAGATGAGAAGACACAAGCTTGAAAGACGTAAGTCAGTTAAAGCATTTTGAGCTCTTCTGAGATAAACTATCTAGGAACAAAAGGACCTCAGCTCATGCAGAATAGTCCTACCCTGATATTACAGTACTATGGCTCAGCCTCTTTCGGCTCTCTCTGGATGGATGTGGGCAGGGATGGCTGAGGTACAGCCTGTGTGATGTGTCATCTAATTGTGCATTCAAAGACATGTTATGAAATTACCAATCTTGGTTGAATAAGATTTCAAATGTAATGTGTGAATCAACACACACAGAAAACGGGAGAAGCTGCCATGAGGACAGCTACTTGGCTGCCCCCAGAAGGGTGTCTTCTCTGTCAATTGTCCCATTTTCAACAGGCCTCAACTCACAGATGTTTTGTCCAGGTCTCCACCCTGTAGATTTGAGATAGGCGAGTGTAGACTTAAGAGGGAGGTGGTGAATGTGCTGATAAGTGCTACTGGGCTTTCTGAAGCTGTAACAAATTGGATTGCTGGCCATATTCTCCCAAGTGAAATTTCCATTTCAGATGAATAATGCCAGCTGGCTGCTCCTGAAGACGCAGGCCTCATGGTGTCGGCACAGGCATTGCAGAACTCCAACCCGCATTTCTTCCCCTTCCATCAGGTGTCACAGTATTGATCAGATTGCCTCCCCTACCCCAGTGGGGAGCAGCTTCCCCTACGTTGCTTGCTACCCTCAAGTAAAGGCTAGGCTCCTTAGAGTAGAAATCACAAGTCTTTTGTGGAAATCCAGTGAACCTCTTCCTAGCCTGTCTCACCAGTTTCCGTGATCCTAGTTCTGTCCTCCTGCTGTCCTTCTTTCATGTCTAATCTCCCACTAATGCTCCCCCCTGGAACGTCTTCCGCATCTTTGCCCTCCTCAGTCCTGGCTTGCTGGAGTCATAGCTGACTTTAAAAGCCCAGCATGAGCAGAAGTTGGCTTTGACCTTCTAGCTTCCTGGAACCCTCTAGCTGAACTCTCTGGGACACTTCATCACTCTGTTTTTGCACCATAAGTTCTTTGGGGACGTGCTCAGCTACTAATGCAAAACAAAGCTTTTGTCACTGTCACGGGATCTGAAACCACTCATCATGTCCCTTTCTCAGGGCAGGGAGCACGCATTCATTCACCAGATGTTTGCTGGTTCCAGTGCCACCCCACTCAGCACCGGGATGCAGATGACCCAGCAGCCATGGACCCTGCCCCATGGAGCTTACCTTCTAACAAGTGACACTCTCCCCCTTTTGTTGAGTGCCTACTGTGTGTTAGACACTGAACTAAGCGCTTTTTTCCCCCCCGTGATCTTTACCACACGTTCCAAGAAATAGGTTTTTCTTATCACCATTTTACACATGAAGGATCTGAGGCTCAGAGGTGGTAGATAATTTGCTCAGGGTCATACAGCTGATAAGGAGCAGAATGAGGTTGTGAAGCCAGGTCTGCTGACTTCCAAATTTATGGTCTTAGCCCCTCGCAAGGATCCCTGCAGGTGTTGGCACCTGAGTGTGAGTGAATCAGTGGAGGACTGGGTAAGTGTTGCATGTCCTGTGTCTTCCTCTTTCATGATAGCATGTTCTGTTTCTGCAGATTGAGCCGTACATGCCATATGAATTCACGTGCGAGGGGATGCTACAGAGAATCAACGCTTTCATCGAAAAACAGGTAAGGCTCTTCAGAAGTCCATCTGTCCTTGCTGTGTCCTACCTCCTGCTGCCCCAGCGGACTCTCATGAACAGCTAAGAGTTTACCATGTTTCTGTGCTTATTTTCCGGATTTGGAGGACTCTACAGGCTAGAGAATGGCTTCTTGAAATTCGAAATTATGAACTGTCAAGGTCACTCCAAGGAGTCAGTCTGTCCTTAGGGTAAAAATGTTCTTTATGATGGTGGAAAGTCAAATGGAAACTTAAGGGAGAGACTGGATGGTTAAGATGAAAACGTCCTTCACCATCAGACCTGTGCCCTGCCTGGGTTCTAGGGGCCTTACAAAGATTTGGGTCGGGAGGGAACAGAGAGATGGCTCAATATCTCTTTGGTAATTCCAAATATGTTCGGACTCTTCAGTGGTTTTCAAACGTTTTTAAAAATAGGACCCGTTTTCAAATGAAACTTCACGTGAAATCCAAGTATATAAAACAGATAAAAGCAGAAGTTCACTTCCAAAGCAGAGGAGGGTTCCAAGGGTCCCAGCACCCCGCACAGAGTTGGGAAACTGTGTCTTGTGCTCGTAGAAGTAAAGGCCAAAAGTGTCATTGCTGTCATTTTAAAACACTTTTCATTCCGTAGGCTTCAAAAGCAACACAGAGCCAGAAATAGGCTGACTGAGCACCCCCGTGGGTAGGGGAATATGAACTCCTTGACCAGATGCCAGAAATAAGGGGCTCCTCTTAAAAGACAAAGCAGAGCGTCTTGGGGCAGTCATGAGATCTTGACACAATAGGGGGTGAGGACTCTGAAGGCTGAAAGTAGAAATGGCATGTTGAAAGTGGAAGTAGGTGCAGACTGTAGGCCAAGGCAGGTTTCAAAGGAAAGATTTGAGGCCACAGACCATGGTGAGCAGCAGACAACCCTGAGTGCAGCCTCTGGACGGGCCGAGCCAGAGGCAGAGGCTTCAGGGTGCCAGGCCTGATGTTCTGAATTTTTGTTAGTGGCAAGAAGGGAGTGCAGCGCAGCCAGCCACCTGGGTTCCAGCCCCTCCGCCAAGACTTTCTGGTTGTATGACTTGGATGTGTTAGTTTCCTCCCTTGCAAACTGAGGATAATAATAGAACCTCATGGGGCTGATGTGAGGATTAAATGAGCCTAGTACATGCGAAGTGCTTAGAACAGGGCTAACACGTACTGCTCAGTAAAGACACACTGGTAATGTTATATTATACATTATTGTATTATATTCTTGTGTGTTATTATATAACATAATATATTCTACAGTATTAGACTTTACCACAAGAGCTGAGCATTTGAATCACTCTCTGTCACTCTTCACATGACACCCAACTTAAGAGTGACAGTATCATCATCCTAACTTGAGCAGCCCTTTACGTACAGACTTTATGCCAACACGTCCCAATGCATCATCTCATTTACCCTCACAGTAATCCTGGGAGGTGGCAGTCATCACCCCGTTCTCTGGATAACGGGAACAGAGAGTCTTAGTTGCAGGGCTTAGTCTTGGAATCAGGGTTTGACGCTGGTTTGGTCTGAGCCCAGGCCTGCACCAGCAGCGTTGCTGTGGCCCCAGGTGCTGGCACTTGTCCCCGAGCCATCTTCTTTGATCTCAAGGAGCTCCTGGCCCTTCCTGAAGCTGCAGACAGGGCGGCCGTGGCCTCTGACAGTGAGATTTAACACATCACAGCTTTAACTACCCTCCGAGGAGGCCAGGATCCTACTGGGATCCCTGCAGCTGCTTACGGAACCCACTTCTGCCTTTCCTGTCTCCACTTCCTCTCAGGGAAAATGGTTACTCACCACCAGGTGTAAAAAGACTTTTTAAATTTTATATTAGAGTATAGTTGATTTAGAATGTTGTGTACAACCTAAATCAATCAGGTGTACAGCAGAATGATTTCGTTTTACGTGTACATATATCCATTCTTTTTCAGATTCTTTTCCCATGTAGGTTATTACAGAATATTGAGTAGAGTTCCCTGTGCTATACAGGAGGTCCTTGTTGATTATCTATTTTATATATAGTAGTGTGTGTATGTTAATCCCAAACTCCTAATTTATCCTTTCCCCGACCATTCCCCTTTAGTAACCATAAGTTTGTTTCCTATGTCTGTGAGTCTGTTTCTGTTTTGTAAATAAGCTCATTTGTATCATTTTTTTAGATTCCACATATAAGTGTTATCATGTGATACTTGAAAAGACTCTTTATCACATTTATTTGAAGACTGTCTTTCTTTCTTCCCTAAGATTCTTGAATCCCAGCCAGTCCTTAGAAGTTCTCATGTGGCCTGTTCTCTCTGAATCTCTTACTAGGTTTCCTTTCAAACAGGAAGATCCCATTCCCCAAATAGACCTTGTCAAATGCTCCGTGATTCAGGGCCACACCTAGCTTGTTCCCCTTGACATCCAAGTGCCTAGCCCTCTGCCTGGCACAGAGTAGGCGCACAAAAGCCGAAGACATGAACAAATGAATGAGAAGGGGAGTGAGTGTGTGTGCTTTTTTTTCCCCTATATGCCAAGAACCAGGAGGCTCATCTTGGCCCTTATGATTTGGAGAGCATGCTAGTAAAATTGTCTTCTGGAAAACATGCTCGTAAAACTGCCCTTTCACACTACCTCCTTGGTAGAGATTTTTTCCTGCAGAGCTCTGCGGTTTACAGAAATCCAGGGATTTCTTTTTTTTTTTTTTTTTCGCGGGCCACTCACTGTTGTGGCCTCTCCCGTTGCGGAGCACAGGCTCCGGACGCGCAGGCTCAGCAGCCATGGCTCACGGGCCTAGCCGCTCCGCGGCATGTGGGATCTTCCCGGACCGGGGCACAAACCCGCGTCCCCTGCCTCGGCAGGCGGACTCTCAACCACTGTGCCACCAGGGAAGCCCCCAGGGATTTCTTTTTTGCCTACTGTTGTTTATTCATTCATCCGCTCTGAAAATATTTGTCAGCTGGAGGGAGCTGCAGACAGCGCTGGGAGTTGGGCAAGAAGAGGTGTCAAAGGATGAGGCCCTGTCCTCAGGTAGCTTCAAGGTCAAGTTCACAGGCGATGCCACTGCCATTGGTTACACCTATCATAGTGACTACCCAGGTGCTTTGGGATCACGTAACTCAGATGCAGGGTGGGGATGGGGGAGGGGAGGTAGAGTCTGTCTGGAAGCACGCTGCGGGAGATGAGTCCTAAAGGCAAAGTCGTGGTACAGAGAGGTCGCGATGCAAAGGCCTGGGGGTGAAAAAGAGAAATGGTGGTGAATTATTGGAAGTTTGGCTGTGACTGAAGAGAGAGATGATGTGAGAGAAGAGGTTGGAGGAGGAGACACATCATGAAAAGATGCTGAGGCTCAGCTGAAGAATTCAGAATTTGTTTCTGGGGCAAGAGGCTAAAGAAAGGTTTTTTTTTTTTTTTTTTTTTTTTTAACAATTTGTAGAATGGGAGGGTGTTTTTTTTTTAGATGTTAGGGGTAGGAGTTTATTATTTTATTTATTTATTTTGGCTGTGTTGGGTCTTCGTTTCTGTGTGAGGGCTTTCTCCAGTTGCGGCGAGCGGGGGCCACTCTTCATCGCGGTGCGCGGGCCTCTCACTATCGCGGCCTCTTGTTGCGGAGCACGGGCTCCACATGCGCATGCTCAGTAGTTGTGGCTCACGGGCCTAGTTGCTCCGTGGCATGTGAGATCCTCCCAGACCAGGGCTCGAACCCGTGTCCCCTGCATTAGCAGGCAGGTCCTCAACCACTGCGCCACCAGGGAAGCCCCTAAAGAAAGGTTTTAACCCTGGAATAGGGCAGTGATGCTCTCAGATTGGTGTTTTAGAAAAGTCATTCTAGGAATCTTGTGTTTGGGGCATTTTTTACTCAACATTCTCTCAGTGCTGCTAAATGAGCAATAAAGGGGCTTGTTTTGAGTTTATCCCAGGCCTCTGGGGAGGGTTTTGTCAAAGCCATAATGTTCCCCCAAACCAGAGGGAAATTAGGAAGCCAAGACCCCACTGGTTCACAGATTGGGTCTTCTGCCTCTAACGATTAGCCCCGAGCTTGGGGTGTTCGTTATTTTTGCAGCCAAAAGAACATCTTCAAAGAGCAGTGAGGGGAGAGAGCGGTGTTCCTGGTATGAACAGGAAAGCCTCAGGCTCCGAAGGGGTGGTGGGAGCATAGCTTCCCATCTCTTAAACTGTAGGAGCATGCAGCCCTAATTAGGCTGATCTCTATCTTCAGAGTCCTCCATGCGATCTGCTAGGGGAATAAGGAAGCTTTTATCCCAGAACCCTTTCAAGGTTGACCATCACACTCACCCCAGGCAACAGGAGCCAGAGGAAGCCAATTGACAGCAATTGAGAAAGCCCCAGGTGTCAACATATACTCTGTACAGAGTGGTTGACAGCAGGTTGACCTACCCTACCAGCCTAGGCAGCACCAATGGGAACAAATCCTGGCTTTAGGAAAGCCACTTGCTTCTTCCCTTAATGCCCCCTCTCCCTTTACTGTACTAAAAATGTTGATTTGGATTGCACACTTTTTTTTTTTAATAAGTTTATTTATTTCTTTATGGCTACACTGGGTCTTCGTTGCTGCGCACGGGCTTTCTCTAGTTGCGGCGAGCAGGGGCTACTCTTCATTGTGGTGTGTGGGCTTTTTATTGCAGTGGCTTCTCTTGTTGCAGAGCACAGGCTCTAGGCACGTAGGCTTCAGTAGTTGTGTCCCGTGGGCTCAGTAGTTGTGGCGCACGGGCTTAGTTGCTCCGCGGCATGTGGGTTCTTCCCCAGACCAGGGCTTGAACCTGTGTCCCCTGCATTGGCAGGTGGATTCTTAACCACTGCGCCACCAGGGAAGCCTTGCATGCTGTTTTATATCAGCTCTCCAAAAGAGGCACTGTCTCCAGCAGCAGGAGTGTGTGCCCAGAAGAAAAATCCTTGTAATCTAAGATCAGGAGCACTCTTCTTCCCTAACCTGGGTGTGTCCAGGCCCGTTAAGGTACTCCTTGTGCATTTCTTGGGAAAGACTTAGGTATTT